ATTATTTGCCCTCCCGTTCTCTCTTTTCTTCACCGTTGCAACACACCCGGTGAACAGACCCATACAACAGTTTGCAATTGCCATTTTTTATTGGTACCATTAATATTCCGGGACTCGTGAAGAAACGTAGACCCTCGATCCTCCCTCCCTCCCTCCCGCCTTCCCTCTCTGTGCACGCGAATAAATGTACACGATGCATATTAAACCCGAGAGTAGATTAGAGGTTTTCTAACGGATATCTCGCTCTCTCCTTTTCTCACGTTTCATCGTCTTAATGTCGTTACTCGTTCCTTGCTCTTGGATTTCTCCTCTTGTTTATTATCCTACGGTTATTTTGATCAAGATTTAAGATCTGGAAATTTGTGGTGAATAATCAAACTTATTGTACGTTAATTTGTATCTGGTTTCGATATCAGTTATATCAGAAAGAATTTTTCAACCAGGATTAATATACAAATTTATTCTCCCTGCAAGGCAAGCATCAAGCATTGAATGCTCGTTTTTCCATGATATCATAGTTCAGAGCTAATGGAAAAATGCTTGAATTATTAGAATATGGCTAACGATTAAATTATTCATAGACTTTGCTAAAAAAGAATGTACGTTGAATATTCATGTAGAAAGGTATTGTCCTTTCAACACGGAGGCAGTATGTCGCGGGAGGGGGGTGAGAACACCGCAAAGGATATGTTCCGTGTTTAGAATCCGTAAAGCTGAGAGCGTGATGCAAAACTGTAAACGGCGATCGTAACACTGCTGCGTACGGAACTGTCGTTATTAGATAATTATTTCTCCATAAAGAACTAATAACAGAGGTGGCGTACTTCATTTCGAGTTCTCGCGTTAACCCTTAGAAAATTCCGAGTTTGCACGTGACGCGACACTTACGTATGTTCACAGATTTAATTGTTTATTGAATGGGAACTTTATTTCTAATACTAATTAAAGTTTAAACAATTTTAGGGAAACAGTTAAAAGCTTGTGTTTAATTAACTAATTTTCAATATGTTTTTTTATTATTTTATTATATCTCTAAAATGTTTCACTTAATTTAATTTTATAACAATTGTTGCATAAAATTGTTTTAAGACAGATGAGGAATAATTAAATTGCAAATCCTGAAGCTTATGTACGAAAAGTTTTATGAAGTATAAATTATCCTCAATTATTGTGAACAGAGTTAAAAATCGTATTTGACTTGACCATTTAATTAACACTACCAAACGTTCTGATACAGCACGGGTCACCCTTGTCTCGAGAAGAGAAGAAAAAGAGGAAAACAAAGCGGACAAGGGTAGTGTGTATCTCGTGCTTAGAATCCGTAAGGCTTCAGGCCTTCGTTCGTTTGCACAGCGTAAACGGCGATCGCGGGAGCAGCGAGAGCCGACCATTGTTCGACGATTATTTGCCCTCCCGTTCTCTCTTTTCTTCACCGTTGCAACACACCCGGTGAACAGACCCATACAACAGTTTGCAATTGCCATTTTTTATTGGTACCATTAATATTCCGGGACTCGTGAAGAAACGTAGACCCTCGATTTTTATTTATTAAATTATTTTATATTTATTACTAATAAAAAAGAATAGAATTTTTAATAATATGAAATATCGAATAAATGTACAGGTGATTTTGTGTCATTTATTCAAATTAATGAATCGCATAATTAGCGACTTAATGATCTCAATTTTATTATCAATTAAAGTATTCGAACTTCATCTTGGTCTTTAATATCGAGGAAGAATTCATTAGATAGCATGGTAGCGGATGGTAGCGGTTATTTTCGGTGGTGAGGGTTGAAAAAAACTGGTTCGTCGTGGGGGACGCAATCTGGCCCGAGTGCAATTTTTTCCCAACGAGAAGTGGCCCGTGTTATACCGGCGAGACTGCGAGACACGAAGCTGCGAATGTCGCATTGTGGACCGGCCAATAAAGTCGCTCGTTCGCCCACGCGACTCCAGGCGCAACGCGACGCGAGGAACGGACGCAGAGAGTGGGTCGAAGCGAGAGCTTAGAAGGGTGCTATTGGAAACGCGGCTCGTAAATGCCTCGAGTTCGCCTCGCTTTCTTTCTGTTTCTCATTTGCTTTCCTCCTTTTTTCCTACCGGCGACCGAGGCAGTTGCTCGGTTCGCTCAAAGCAAGGTCGGCTCGTGGGTGGCGACGATAATAATTATTGGCCGGGGGTTACGAACCTGAACGATCGATCGACGATCACGAGCCGGGAGATCGCGACGATCTCCTTCATTCCTTGTTGGAACGCGGCTTTATCACCGGGGCCAGGTTCAACGGTGAACATCTTTTCACCGACCGATGAAAAAGAAAAAGAAAGTTTGCATTTAATGCATGCACCTTATGCTGACCGAGAGGACGCAGGGTGCTCTGTCGATGGAAGCACGCCGAACGTTTTTACGACGACGTTGTTTCCATGTCGTTGAACGGTTCTGCGTGGATCCGCGGACGTCTGCGTCTCCCGGCCGAATGGTAATAATATTTTTGTCGATCGAGCACAGAGGGCACACTGTAAAAAGGCTGTAAACGGCACGAGGGAGTTTCTCTGAAATCGTTCCCCGGTCCTCGCGCGAATTAATTCTCGCCCCCTTGACGTTAACGGCGCGGCTTCCCTCGGATGATCGAACTTTTTATCGCGCCCGCGACTTCGGTTCAGGTTTTCGGGAATTATTTAATCTCGTTCATGTTGCCAACGAGTCTGGTTGGTAGCTCCTAGAAAGATAAAAATGACATTCTGCTTGCCTGCTTTTTTGTATTTATTTATTCCTGCTACTTTATTCGATATAATTTTATTCTTGGATTAATTTTTGATGACATGATTTAATTTAATTGGGTCAGCTACTGAAACAATTATTTGTTCACATTTATTACTTTACATACATTAAATGCTTCCATTAAGACATGACGCGCCTTACCCTATAATATGTAATCCTGGCTTTTCTTATCGCATCAAAAACGTCCAGAAAAATCACACCTACAATTCCTCGCTTCCTCAAATGATAAAATCACCAATAATCTTATCTCAGCCGAAACGTTCATACGTTCTCCAAGCAGGAATATCAGTAAATCTCCTGAACGAACATTAGTGTATCTTAACGATAAGGAGAGTAAGATTCCTCTGTACAAGTTGTACGGACGAGGCTGTCCATTCATGCGGCTGCAGCCTACTCCGACGCGTCAATCGCGGGCGGAAACCGTTCCCGTTGATTTACCGGCCGATTTCGTCGACGATACGAATATAAAACTGCGCGAGGATCGCAACGACTAATCGATTCCCGGATTCGAACGGCGATCCCAGCCCGGTCCCGTGGGCAGCGGAATGGTTCACAAACGGTCGTCGATCATGCAATAAACCGTCGATCGATCCCAACGTGCCGGGATAGCCAACTTCAGAGGGGGACAAATTTTTCTCACGTTAACGAACTCTCGACGCAGCGCGACGGCGTCGAGAGATCGTCGATATGACGACAATAATCGTGGTGCGTACGAGCGTTCGATCTGTTCGCTCTCTGTCTCTGATGCGTTTTACGCGAACCTCGTGACTTTTATCGTTCGATGTCGCAGTGACGAGTATGGAAACCTCGTGGGTGACGATGACAATAATTGGGTACCTGCGTTGTTCCTTTCTTCCCTTGTCCTTGTAGTGGTGTCTTCCTAAACGTTGCTCGATGAACAATGCTCGGATTCGTGGGTGACAATAGCGATTCCAATAGGTTTACACTTTGCTGTGTCTCAACATTGTTTTACTCGCGCGATTCCGTGGCCTGATCGTCGCGATAGATCAAGGATTTCATGGATGTAGTACGCGACAGGTTTCGAAGGCGGAAACGCTTTTATTGAGGCTATTACAGGATTCTTGTGTCCGTCCGTTGTTTCATAGTTCATTACTTTGGACACAGTATAAGAAAGAACAGTCAGCTCATGACCAACAGATTCGTCATATTGTTGGTTGTGCGTGGGCTCCAATTTCAATGGTAATATCAAGATCGTCTACATTAGAAGGTCATATATAAAAAGGCTGATGCCACGAGGCATATTTTATATAACCCCAATTTATGCACACTTTGTAGCAAGAATCGTCAGAAATTTCGCACGTGGCTCGCGGACATAATTTTGCCTCTTATCTCGCTCTTTTACACTTTCACCTTTTAATGTAAATATCCAAGCCGCATCAAGGTGTAATTTATGCAGACGCGTGGCAGCGCGTTCGAATCACCTGGAGAACCTCCACGGCCCCGGTATCACCGCAGATTTATTCCGGCACGCGCGAAAATAAAAAAATAAAAAACAGCAAAACGATGCAAATCAGAAAGGTGGGTCTCGAGATTCGGTCGCGTGTATCGGAGGTTCACAGGCGCGAGGACCAAGCTCGAGGGCGAGGAACGTTATTCAAATTCACCGCGGTGGGATTAGAATTAGAATCGACGATTTTTGGACACGTGCCTGCGCATCGGAGTCTGCGAAGAAAATATTCAAATTTTTCTGCACGGAGACACGAGCCGGAAGTACCGCTCTGCGGTGCACCCGTGATTTATTTGCATGACGACGACGGATACGGCGCAGCCTCAGCCTCGATTATAATTAAAATCGGGGACACGGGCCTGGAACGTGCACGCGGAATTCATTTCCATGTTTAACACTTTAAATCCTGAATCATGTTACCCACGTCGTTTTGACTGCTATTCTGTTTACTTGGAAAACAAATATGACATGGTTAGTGGAATAAGGGTTTATAACATCATTCAAGCATGAATACAAGTAGAAGAAAGAAATTAAGCACAGAATTATGTTAATTTATACTATTATTATTTTCATTTGTACAAAGAAATAAAAAGATTGTTGTGTTTTATATTGAGATATATTGCACTCACATTAATTGAAGTATAAAGAGTGAATTATCAAAGTACACGAATCGTTAGGAAAATATAGACTATACTTAGTGGATAAAAATTTCAAACGCTATCACTCAACGATATTGTTTCATTATTATAGGTAGAAGCGTTTGTGGGATATTAAGGCCACCTTCGATTTTTAAATGGAAGGCTTTCAGGGCGAGTTGAACGATCCACAACAGAAGGTATGCTCTCATTTAGTTTCTTATTCGATATTAATA